TTTGGTTTTGCGTGGTGTGATCCGGTGAAGTCCATGTGTTTTTGTGTATGCGTTTATGTAGGAATAAGGTGCCGCCTATGAACAGCTTATTGAAGTCACATAGATTTGCAAATCTCTCACCATTTTCGTTTCTTTCTCCCTGTCCGTGTCGTTCCATGATGTCTTGATATCCAGTGTTGTCCGTCCCAACCTTGGCGTTGAAATTTTCCATCAGAATCGTCGGTCCTTTGTTGGGCACTTCTCGACGATTGACTGCAGCCTATTGTAGAATTGGTCTTTAGCGTCTTCATTGTAGTCGTTGGTAAGCGCATAGCATTGGATGACGTTCATTGAAGTGCCCTCTTTCTTTGTTTTGAACGAGGCTTTGATGATCCTTGGTCCATGAGATTCCCATCCTATAAGCGCATTTTGCGCTTGTTTGGACAGCATCAATGTAACTCCTTGTGTATGTGGGGCATTTTCTTCTTCATGGCCAGAGTATAACAGGAGCTCTCCTGTAGTTAGTCGTTGTTGTCCAAATTGTGTCCAATGTGTTTCACTGATGCGAAGTACCTCTAGGTTGTATCTTCTCATTTCTGCAGCAATTTGGAAGGCTCTCCCGGTGTCCCAAATTGTACATTCATTATTCTACACAAATTCTTACTCATTCATTATGAATCTCCACGCTTCACGAATATGTTCCCATAGAAGTGTCTGGCCGATAGGATACAATGCCACAGATGAAAGTGCGTCCAATAAATCCTGAGGATCCTTTTGATTATTTTTTATGACCCATTCCAAATGTCTAAATTATCGATAACATGATAAGTAATAGCCCATTTCAACAAAAGTATTTATTTGTATTTAACTTTGAATTATTCAGGTAACAGAAGCTAAACGAAGTAGGTAATGGAATATTTGAAAGAGATACAAATATTTTTTTATTATTTATGCAAAATGGTTATTCAAATTTTTTCTAATTTGAAGCATGAACTGATTAATATTAAACAACCATTGAAAGCTTCGACGCACTGGACAGTGAACTGCTGAGGAGTCCCAAACGTGGACGAAACGGACGTCCAGTACTTCCGTGTATTCAATGATGGCCCAACATTGATCAGTTTATGATGTCAATTAAACAAAACTCAACAATCTCCACAATCCTATACTGGTATTCAAACTTTGCTCTGTTTGTCGATAAATGTCGTGTCAGATTGAAGTTAACCACAGTTATTTGAACTCCAAACTTTGTTCGGCTAAATGAAAGTACATATCTCATAACCAGTGGTTATTGTTAATCCATTGCTTTTTCAATATAATCATACCTTAAACATTTTTAAAATATTAGTTTGCTTCATTACATGTAATTTTAACCCATATTTACCCGTATCGGTGACATATATATCCTTTAATATTATAAGCAAACTCATTAGCTGAATTAATGAATGCTGAATGCGTGGTCTGATGACAGAAAGCTAACATTAATCAATTGATTACTCATAAAACACTAAACTTCATATATTAAAAGCGTCTTCTTACGTACTATCAAAGCACTTGAAAAAAAACACAGTATTTACTAAAATACGTAAACACAAAACTATGAATGATCAAACGATATTGAGAGATATATATGGTGTAAATTACTGATAGTTTAATGATCATATAAATACAACAGCACGAAATATGTATTAGACAGTCAATACATCACGAAACAATCCATGTATTTTATTGACTCATATATGTTTGCATATATTGTACTAAAATAGCAACCATTCATTTAATTTATTGAAAGCTGGCAATCGAAAGCAACAACAAATGAAATGTAATATAACTCACAGTCTTACTATCCACATATCACGAGAACAAGACAATGCCTGTAAAATACTATTTTTCTCATCCTCTTTAATATCCACTTCTAATAAACGTTGTTTTAGGAACTCCCATTCTTTTTGTCCACCGATTCTAATTGCTGTGCAATAAACAGCTGGCCTCAAACTTGGTGGGATCCTTAAACATAAAACGGATGAAAAATTAGAGGATAATCGATAGTACTACATGTAGAGTAAAAAATATCACAAATTTTATGATAAAAATAACTTTATTCGTTCAACACGGAAAAAAACTAAACAAAATAATTAAGTTATTTGAAGCAATCCCCAAGTAAACAACTGATATACAAATTCCATAGATATGGACCAGTCAATACAAGTGAATGATATACAACTTGTTGGTCGCCAATACCTTGCACAGCAACCTCACATTTAATAGATCCAAGGTTGGACATGTCTAAGAATGTAATTTTTCTAAATTTCATTTAGTAATTATTTCAAAATCATAACAGTTCAATAGGTAACTTACAAATTTTGTGAAGGATTAAGCATCCAATTTCTGTAATATTCTGTAGCCATTTTAACGCATGAATGATGTTCAGCTTGACATGCTAGACGAGTTAATGTCAGGCGCAACATACTTAAATAAAAAAACAAGCGAAACTGGTGAAATAAATGAACTTTCAACAACAATTACATTCAATTGTTCTAATCAGTTGTCTTATCTGAATATAATAAACAATTAACTGGAATAATAAAACTAACATAAACACTCATCCCTTTATTTTGTTTATTTATCTTCATTTTATGAATGACGTAACACATTGGATTCAGATAATATAGAAAAATTGTATGTTTTCTCAAATTCCACCGATCGGAGGCGGTAAATATTGAGTGAAATTTCTTCTCACAACACTAACAAATACACACAATCTGTAACGTTTTACATCTCACATCACATGTCTCTGACACACTGACGCAAATACCTACTCAGAAGGTTGTATAACGTCGATTGGATGACCTAATCAGTACACAGTTAATCAGAGAACCAAATGTATAACTGGTATGACTATGTTCGATAATTTTGATGTTAGACTATATTTACTTGGAAAACTTGTACGAGATTGTCATAAAATTAAATTTACGATATAGGCTGTCTACCTTCAGAGTGAACTGAATATATTATCTCAATCATTTTTATTTGGTCAGGCTTGTACAATCGATAATGAGCAAGCTAAGATTGCAAACCTGACAAGTTTCTTTAAAATCCTCTTTCCCCAAAATATCCTAAGATATTTAGCCCTAAAGAAATACTTCACCCAATTGAAAGACAAATAAGTAAACTTACATCGTTTTGTTCATGAGACAAATGAAATCATAAAACTTTCATCATCACATAGAATAATGTTTGTATACAAATGGGAAAGTATACAGGCAAGTATAAATACGATTACATATCGATATAAAAACACCCCGTACGTTATTGAAGGTAACTCCATGTCACAATTATGAACAGTGAATGAATATGTTTAATATGATTATAGTGATAACATGGTTATTTGTCCGGCAAGACTATGATTCATTCACTCATTGTGAAAACTCTTGCAACCATTAATTATATTCTTGTCGATCATTTAATTAATTCTAACTAGTTTTCCTGTTTAGGTCAACTCAATACAATTTAATTGTGTCATACAATTTAACACGTATGGAAGTAAATTTTGTACACATGTGGATTTTAATTACTAACCGGATGGTTACAACTAATTTCTATAGATTTCTATTTGATTAACGATTAATTCTGATTGAAAGTAGTCGTTACATTTTTGTTATAAAATTATTGTTTACTATTTACCGCTTACCAAGAAAAATAAACACAAGTTTAATCCATATATACGGCTATAACCTGGTTAGTTTGATTTATTATTGTAGTAAATTAACAGGTATAATACTGCACCATAAATAACTTTAACAAAACAAAACAGTTTCAACAGAACTGTTAATGAACTTCTAAGTTTTACAGAAATTGTTAACAATATGAAATCTCCATTTAAAAACATTGAAAAGTAATTTTAAATTATTGAATCAGAAAAATCATCCATTGTTGATAAGTATTAGCTGTTAGTTTTATGATGTAAATTGTGGTTTGTAACGAGGTTGTACAAGGTAGCAACAATGTGATTCACAGTGGATGAATTACACGATAGTGATAAACAAACAAAAGAATTGTGTTTCTGTCACTATGTTGAAAACACAAACGTTCAGTGGACATTTGTAAATGATGTGCAGGTCGGTCAAAAATGCACAAATAGAATTTAGTAAATCTACTTAACCTTGTTATCATTATACTCAAAATAGTTCAACAAATATAGCCTTCATCACTTCTGGTTCATTAGACAGTAAACATCATAAAGCATTATCCATTTAAAATCAAGTTACTAATAGTTTATCTAAGAAGAGACGATTAAGCCTTTTATATGCAAGAGTATTTGAAGAAGATGGAAATATATTCAAAGTCCGAAAACAGTCACCCTTCCACACCTTTCATTTTTGAGGTACTTTTCTCACCGTAAAAGTATCCCTAATCTAAACTCTTTGGTTCACTTGAGCGATACGAACTCATTATTTTATATTAATTCTAGCTGTTCCTTCTGATGAAAAATTTCAATTAAATTTCATACATCTATTGTAATTATCAAAAAATAGCTCCGATAGACTTTTTCCATTTTTGTATCATGATCATATTGTTTTAATCATCATTTTATAGAATTTCGCTGAAATATTATTATGGAAACTGATCTTGTAGGGATTCGTGTTAGATATCTATTGTTTTCAATGAATCATATAAATTCACTTGAAACTTATTGTTAGGTTAATAACGACAAGTGCAATACAATATTTGGTTACAGAGAAGGTTACTCAAAATATATTCTCAAACATTCCTTATGTCAGTATTATCTGTTATTTATATTTCAAACCTTTTGAAGTCGGAAATTACTTAACTTATTCACGCATATATTCAATTCAATTATAGTTATAATGTATATACTATAAGTTCCTGACTAACACAATAAAACTTTTTATAGATTTATATCTTCAAAGATGGTGTAACAAGAAACTGTTCATTTAAATATGTAAATAATAAAAGTTTAATTTAAATCGAATGCATATCATATGATATTATGTCTAACAATGAATATAGGTAAGTACACTCACTTCGCCAAGTTGAATAAGTCATCCAAAATTTGTGTTCGTGAATGAAGTGGAATAGCCTAATCATAGGAAATATCGAATCAATTAATTTTTTAATTTGTAAATATAAAGTGATTATCAGTAAAGTTGTGGAGATTGTTAAGTTTTTATTGTGACCAAGAATCGGTCGATTTTATTGTGAATTGGTTCAAGTTAGATATTAACACCGTTGGATGCCATCTTAGTTGTCTAGAGGTTAAGCATTCTCTCGAGAACGAAGATTCTGGGTTCGAATCTCACGTGCGGGATCGTACATATGGACTACTAAGGTGTCCAATAATATTAGGAAACGATAGTCCAGTGCATTCAAGTTTTCAATGATGGTCTAACATTGGTCGATTCACGATCTCAATAAGAATAAAAATGATTGTTCACTATGTGGCTAAAACGATTTCAAATATTACTTTGCTATAAATAAAATGTTATTAAGTCTAAATCATTTCAATTATTGTGACGTCTATACAACCTTAATTGGATAAATTGTTAACCGATAATTCACAATCATACGCTAGTTTATCAAAGTAATTATCTTTCTATAGACCTTGAAAGTGATTAATCTTAAGCATTTTTCAAATAACGGTTACCAGTCACACGATGATCTTTATACAACTGTTCTGTCAATAGTTCCCAGTTATTGTCCGCATAATGAACACGATAAAATCCAGCTTGTTTAATGTTGAATAAATACCAAGAATTTTCTGCAACATCTAGTGTTTGGGTCATTGTCTCTGTTGAAATTAAAGTAAATATTTGTGAAAATACTATGAAATTACTGAATGTATATATTCATAAGTGAACATCATCGCATAAGAAGGATAGGAGGTTAATGTATTATCAATAGTGTATGGAAAACCAAATAAATAATTTAACATGATCCAAATCTACGAAGGTTTAATGTTCAATTATATACATTAAAATAAATCAACATAATCTGAGAGCCATTTCAAACAACAGAGGACTTCATGGATATTTTATCCTAGTTCCAAACATCTCAGAACTTAGTGCTCATGACGCTATATGATAGAAAGCCGAGAACTTTTAAATCTCATCATTGAGGTGAAATCTATCAGTTCACATTTTCACATTCAACTAATCTAAAGTACTATATGCCTGCTGTTCAACTGCATGAGAGATATATGTTCCACTATTAAATTCGATGGATTCCAATAAGTAAACGCTCCCGCTGTGAAACCTTAGGATCTTGGGTTTCATGGTATTTTGCGAACATGCTGACAAAATGCAGTCTTCTAACCACCGTAAGCAAAAATACAAGCATGTTTGGGATGCGATTCTCCCCCTCGAATTTTAAAATGTTGCTTCAGTATTGGGTTGCAGCGGCACTTGAACTAATGATAAGAAGTGAAGTACTTTAGCGTGTCGACCACTCCACTTATCTTGAGAGTCATGTCAGACTTTGTGGTCTGGTGTGTGACGAAATCTCAGCACGGATACAGAAGGCTCGACTAGCTTCCGCCAACTTGCGTCATTTACGGCGTAGACGAGATAGCCGTTTACCAAACAAGGGATGAATATACTGCGCAATAGTTCGTTCCGTCCTAATTTTTGGCAGTGAAACATGGCCGGTAAGAGAAGAGGATATTCGTAGGTTACTTGTATAAATAATAAGTGTGAATGATAATTTGCATAAATCAAATTGACACGATGAAGGTGTTAAACCGAATAGAAATCAATTAGTATCTAATTAGTATCATCATCATCATCATCATCATCATCATCATCATCATCATCATCATCATCATCATCATCATCATCATCATCATCATCATCATCATCATCATCATCATCATCATCATCATCATCATCATCATCATCATCATCATCATCATCATCATCATCATCATCATCATCATCATCATCATCATCATCATCATCATCATCATCATCATCATCATCATCATCATCATCATCATCATCATCATCATCATCATCATCATCATCATCATCATCATCATCATCATCATCATCATCATCATCATCATCATCATCATCATCATCATCATCATCATCATCATCATCATCATCATCATCATCATCATCATCATCATCATCATCATCATCATCATCATCATCATCATCATCATCATCATCATCATCATCATCATCATCATCATCATCATCATCATCATCATCATCATCATCATCATCATCATCAGAAAACTGGTATATGTGTCTTAATTTGGGCTAAATAAGAATAATGACACTTAGAGAACATACTTCTTTTTATTATTCCGTAATATACTACGAGAAAATGAAGTATATTGTCATATGAAAAGTTTGCCATATTGTATGGAAATCATTAAAACAACCTTTACATATAGTAGATTGTAAAACAGCTAAACAAGAAATATCAGATTTCAGTTGTTATGGATAAATAACATAAGTGATCCCACAAGATCAAAATTTATCAATCAATTTTTAATGTCGAAGAATAAATTCCATAGTGAATAAAATCATGGACACACCTCAGTGAGCGCCCTCCACAAATCTTCATGAACAGTATTTTTATATTTGTTTTGATATAGATAATTCTGCAACGAAAATAATACCATAGAAACGATCATCAGAAGGGGTTTGTGGAGATTTTAGAAATTTCACAGATTGAAATCATGAATCAATTGAAGCCAGACCACCATGGAAAACCTGGAAGTACTGGAAGTACTAGTATGGGACTCCTCCAGGTTTTCTATGGTGGTCTAGCTTCAATTTACTCATGATTTCAATCTGTGAAATATATGTATATATATTCAGAAATTCCATTCATTTTTCATTTATTTCTCATCTAAATATAGGATCAACAGATTCAGTCATGATCTCTTGTTATTTCACAATTCCATACAAACTTCATTTTAATTTTTGTCGAGCAACTAATGTCTGAGTAATAACTGATGAGTTGGTCATCATCATCATCAACATCAGCATCAGCAGCAGGAGCAGTATAGTTTTTCACTTCACGGTGAATGGATCACACATATCTGATAATTGGTTTTGAAGATTTCCGTCAAAAATATTTCTGATAAGAGATCTTGTTTCTCGTTAAATACCTTTCTATTTTATTTTACAGTTTGTATGAATTGTGAAGTAACAAGAGATCAAGACTGAATTTGTTGATTCTATATTTAGATGAGAAATACAGGAAAAATGAGTGGAATTTCTGAATATTTTTTTATTATCAAAATGGAATAATCAGAAATTTGATAAGGACTTTTCAGTGTTGGTGTTTAAACATAATAAGAAATTTTATCAATGAAAGTATAACGGTTTGTGATCTATTATAAAGCAATAAAACAGATTAAAATGTATTCCAAACTCTTATATAGTCTGAAACGTTTGTGTTTATTTGCAACCGTTTTGTTATGACAGTCTGATTCGACTATGGAAATATTGAACTTTTGTCGCTGTATACCTCACTATCAGATATATTTCATACGATCTGTGTTTTTCAACTATGTATTCCATTTATCCTTGAAAACAGAATGCATAAGTCATTGACAAAATCAATGTATTTCAAAGCGTATGTGTATCATGTTTGGTCGTTGTTTTTTCAGTAAATTCTATGCAAGGTATTACAAACTTCTCGATTTCTGTGACGTGAATTTTATATAGTTGAAAATTACTACTTTTGAATTTTACATGCTACCAGTTATAGATGATAAACTGATTTCGTCTTCATGTGAGAATATGGATTCTAAACTTTTGCAAGTGTAAAAATATATACCTGATTTAAAACATTTTCACTATAGCGTGACTTTATACCATTTTTCAGTTGTACTGAATATTTGGATGTGAAACTGATGATCTTTGTAGTGAACGTCTATATTTCATAACAGTCTATTGTTTACTTATTTAATTCTGCCTAAGATGGTTTAAAGTAAAGTATATTAGATATTTAATTGTTATTCAATAAGCATTAATGAGGCTTTAGCGTAAACTTAATTTTTTTCCTTTTCGTTCAATCGAAACGTGTGCTTGCGAAATGCACGATTTATTCCCTTATCCTGTTCAAAGTTAGTTCATTTAAGTTAGCTTACCTCTGAAGAAGTGATTTGTTCTAAGTTGCAAAGCATTCAAAACTCAATCCACTACTCATTATGACGAGTGCATCACTTCCTAATTCAAATCACTAAATAATTACAAGATCGAACGGCCATTTCTTAGTAGTGAAAGACTCCACAATACTGTAAAAGCCTATCTACTATGAATAAACATATGTTTACCACTAAGGAATTTCGAGAATTAATTTCCTGACTTTTAGTAAGTTGCTGTGATCAATAAAATTCAACCTAGTCGATAATGTGAAGGTTTCCATTCAATGACACTGGGCGGTTTTTGATCATTATTGAAGTTAGAAGTTTAAACCATTAGGTACAAACTTGGTCGTCTGAATGTTAATAGCTTATTGAGAAGCCTCAAGTTCCGATGTCTGATCATTTAATGTCAAGAATGAGAGTTGAAATGGTTCATATGTTCAAACAATACAGGTGTCGCATGTTTCGAGGTTTACGATTGTTATCTAGCCATAGTCAGAGAATAGTACGAATCCACAAAAATGAACGATGTTTACAAATCTTCTTTGCTATTAGAACTTAGAATTTTCTTATACTAATCACATTACGATTACATATTGTTAAATTAAAGCAGTTATTAAATGGGTTATTCAATAATCACTGGCTATTATTGCTATTTTTCCTTCTTTTACTGATAAAAGGATAAGTAGCACCTGCAGATAAATCTTATTTTACCAAAGAATTTACTGAATATAAAAAAATGTAATAATGATTTTTGAAATACAGTACACATTTAGCTTAAAACCGTTTCTTTGAAATTTTCGACTATTGATGGTTATAAAAAGAATGAATTGATTAATTAGTAAAGTAGATGACATATCTGAAAACTCCAAGTTAACAATTAATATATTAGAGAAAGATAGTGAACACTAACATTCACAATACTATTCTCACAACTTGATACTGGTAAAAACATTACATTTAAAGCAACTTCGTGTTTCACTATTATTATTATTATTATTACTATTATTGTTATTGATGTACTAACAAGTCAGCGTAAATTGGGTAACACTTGGAAACATACAATTACATTCTAAACGTTTGCATAAATGTAGAAAACTGCGGATTTATTACTCATTATAACACTTAAAATACAAAGAATATGCGTTGTGGTTAACATAACTAATGATTTAATAAACATAATCTACATAATAAAAATGACTAATAGTATAAATCATACTATCTTGTAAAATTGTAAACCATTTAGATAAACGGACTAAGCAACTACTGAATCACAAATGATTGTTTCTTTAAATACAAACTAATCTGATTCGGAAAAGATAAAAACCTTTACAAAATATTTTAAGATAAACGAATATAGAAGTAAATATTGATAAATGCAGGCTTATGAAATTTGGTTCGTTCTATTTCATCCAGTCGTGTTGTTTAGCAATGTTTTGCGTGGCAAAAAGACTTATCAGTCAATCATCTCACAAAATAACATTAAGGTGGCCAGTGTGACTAGTGACTAGTGTGACTAGGGGTAGTTATACAGGAATAACAGCATCCAAACACTAATCAATCTGTAAAACACTAGTTTCACAAAGTTGAATACTATCCATCGAGTTATTGATTGTTTAAAAAAATTCCGTGTAATGATTCACTGGCGGATAAAACATAACAGGATAGTTCTAATCGGGTTAATAGGAATAAGTCTCCCCACTACTTTTACTCCTTAAAGACACAAATATCCTTTAGTTGGTAAAACAGTAGTTAGGATACATGAAATTATTGAACCTACTTGTATGGTGAGGGATTTTTCGGCGACTTAGCATCCTGTGGCTCTAAGTAATGTTTTTGTACAAACTGAAATTGGCCATCAGTATTTCTTTGAATGATTACTAATGGGTAATTCATCTGTTTCATCCAGGTATCCATTACGGCTTTAACATTCACATCTTCACCTGCACGCTTTGCTGCCTGAAATTGAAATAAATATTTCTGTAATTAATATTCAATAAAAATAACACTGACTGTTGTAGAATATTTCTGCATTGTTATAATACAATATATTTGATGGCGGACGGAGATTGTATTTATTCTGCAAATTTTGACTACTAATAACATATAAGTATACATACATTATTTCACACATTGTTGACATTTCATTTTCCAATTTAAAAAAAGACATCTGAATACGTTTTCAATCTAGATCTAATGATTAAAGATTATATATAATTTGATAATTCTAGCTTTAATGTTTGAGATCATGAGTCGATTGAAGCCAGACCACCATGGAAAACCTGGAAGCACTCCAAAGTAGTTTTGTTCTATTTTGGGACTCCTCAGCGGTGCACACTCAAGATCTCGCCTCGCGAGATTGTAACCCAGAACCTATCGGTCTCGCGCGCGGATGCCTAACCTCTAGACCATTGAGCCAGCATCCAATCGTGTTAATGTCTAACTTTAACTAATTTACGAAATTGAACCACACATTCACCATTGTCTTCAGTGAGTTATTATCTCACAACTGACCCGGTTGAACTCCACTGGTCACTGCTTCTCACAATAGGACAAAACGGCCCTTCATGGTGGTCTAGCTTCAATTGACTAATGATCTCAACTATTGAAATTTTAATTTTGTTTATTACCCTAAAGAATTTCAGATAACAATACTGAACGAAATAATGAAATTGTTTGAATTTCAACTCCTAAGATTACTTGAAAAATAATTTGACCAAGTAATATACTAGATACTCAAATTCTAGTATAAACACGTATTTGTTCCCAACCCCAAACGATAATTGTACTACCTAATGTAGCTTCAATACTCAATGAAATTCAAGTTAACTACATAATGAATATTGATCAGTAGTTGGAATTATTTCTGAAGATGCAAACCATTAACCATGAAACATATAAACTATTTCATTTAATAATTTAAATATTGAACTGATAATTCTCGTGTTTCAATAAATCATAATAGTCAGAAGAACACAGATAATTAGGTAGTTCTGTTGATCTGACAATTAATTTCTCAACAATTAGTACCTGACGCCTGTTACTCCAAATTGAGCACAGGACGCCAACCAACTCTGTCCTCGGTCTTCCTTCCCACTTCTGTCCACGTTTTTTCCATTCTTCTCATGTCGGTCTCCATTTCTCGGCGTAATGTATTCGT